TGCTGAACCTCTAAGCACTAACTTGGTTTCCGTTGTTCATATATTGGCCAGCTAAACACAGTGCAGTTCTTTGCCTGCTTTACTCCTGAACTATTGTTTACAAGCATCTTCGTCCACCAAATAAGATGCATTTTTGCTTCTTTTTAAAGTAATTTACATTGGAGAACATTCCATGTTATGCAAAGAATTTGACAGGTCTTTGCTAAAATTTAAAAAAACAATTAAGATGTCAAAAGAGGAAGTGCTAGTACATTTTAATCATAAATCTCTGTATATATAATTACCACTGAAGGCAGCTATAAATGTTTTATGAAGAAAATGTAACCAGACTGTGCTTTGTCAGAAACATAACCCCAAAACATGTAACAGACTGTTCGCTAATGCTTAACGCCACACATGCACACAACCTTTTTGAGTATAGTTCTGTGAACCCAGTCCTCCATTCCTTCTGCGTCCAAAACTCCAACTAACTTAAATTCAGGCTTTAATACACTCCATCAAAATGCGGATCACATACATTTGGAGGTATTGGAATAAACTTCCCTAATATCTATCTTGAATCAGAAAGTCCAAACTCCTGCCAAACCGTCCCATGCGCCTTGTCTTGCGTCCCTAATTTCCTTAGTCAGGGCTATTAGGAAAGAAAAGACAATCAAGTTGCTCTTTAAATCTAAGCTTGGTAAGAAATAAAAGTGAATAACAATAGGAAGGCAAAGCGAATGGCATTGCAAAACAGAGAAAGAATAAAAGGCTTTTGGCCTGCTAATGAGAAAAAGTAGTGTGCTGCTTTACGGAGGAAGCTCTTGAACTAATGATGGTGGGAGATGGTGGGACTGGCTATGGAGAGAGTGTCCCTGTTTCACGGCAGCTGAAGAATCTGGGACGCTGCAGGGGGCTGCAGCCACCTCGGTGCTCTGAGAATTAGCGTGTTCGTTAGGCGTGCTCTCCAGAGCTTCAGATGGTGCTAGCGCTCCTCAGCTAACTATACAAAAATTTGCAAAGCCTCTACACCAATTTCCAAAATGTAATATGCTGCTGAAATGCTATATGGAGAGTGTCTCTTCGGATAAATGATGATAATGCGGTCCTATTGTTTGAACATTAAACTGGCTCCTATTGAATAGTTTCCCTCATCTGTTTGATTCATTTTGATTCTAGCTGACAACATTCCTACTACTGACTGCTCTTTTCATAGTTTCTCAAAAATATAGAGTGGAAATGAGGTAGATGAAGTTAATTAGTAATCCAAAATGTTTAATCTGATTATATCGATACGTTTAAGGTGGACATTCTAAGTTGATCAAAACTTTAAAATCATAAAACCTGAAAAGTAGCATTACCTAGTTAAATGCTTATTCACCAGGGAAACAACTCAATTTATAAGATAAACTTTGATGTAAAACCTATAGGCTATTCTCATTGAAACATAATTAGTGCCTTCCATCCTCTATTTGAGGACTCTAAAGCGACTGGGTAGCTAAGGGTCAGATGTCTCCGAGGTGATGATAATATTCAGGGTGGAATCAAAATTTTAGCTTTTAAGAGTCAATCATCTTCCTAAATTTTGACACACAAGTAAGACATACTCTCAAAATAATGTCTTTAGGGGTCTATCAAATAAAAAGCGAAAGGAAAAAAAAAATACATGTTTGTGGACTACTTAAAAATCCGGTATTACCTGCACATTTATTTAGTACTGTTCTTGGGTTGCTTAATTGTCTCTATACTTGCTATGAAATATTTAGGAAAAAGTGCAACTAATGAAGTATTCGATTACAGAAAAAAGCATTCCAAAGAACTAACTGCCAGCACCAGGAATACATCACTCATGTGCAGTGGCTGGCTATAGATAACGGTATAGATTTATACATTTAGTTGTACGGATATTTTTAAATGGGTAATTTGATGACCGAAAAAAATACTGTAAAGATGCAATGAAATTGTATTGTAAGTCCTAATTATTCAAAGTAATCAACCCTTGCACCCACATGGTGCTGTATTACAAGGGTCAAACTCTGTATGTACGGAAGCGAGAGGCTACCCAAGAGGACGAGTGTCCATCAGTGCGCAATTTGGGATTCACACAGAGTATGGAGCTGTATCTCTAGAAAGGGCCTTCGCCGTTTATGGCAGGCCAAAAGAAACACCAGAGGTGACAACCTCCGAGCTTAGAGGGGTGCTCACTCTGAGCCCATGGGGAAGTGTCTACCTGCTAAGGCCGTGCAGGTATTGATAGGTTTTGCTCTGGGGCAGAGGGCAGCAACCACTAGAACTCAGAAAGAACTGTAACTTTATCTGTCCGTCTTCTACACGTGAGTTTTTAGTTAATATGCAGAGCTCAGAAGAGATGAAAAGCCTACTAATAATAATAGTATGCTTTAATGTATGTTCCTGTTTTTTTTCCAAATGTAGATCAAATTTTTGGCTCCCATTTGCACTTGGTATGTGAGCACGAAAATTCTACGGTCCCCAAATTTGTAAGACTTTGCATAGAAGCTGTTGAAAGAAGAGGTGAGTACCTTAATACTTAATAACATTTTTTTTTTTATTTCTGTATTAGTAATCAAAACTTTAACCTTATAGCTCTGCTTGAATTGCCAGAGAATTCAGGCAGTTCAGTTTATAATATAGTTATGGACTGACCTATATCACATTCTATATCTTCATTTTCTTTATACACTAAGACATTAATAAAACCGGTTCATGCTGATTATTCCTTATATTTTGTTTGACATGTTGTTGTTTTAGTCTTTCTCTGGATAAGCAAATGCTAAACATCAATAAAATGTCAGTAACTTCCATTCTGAAGTCTCTGGTGAATGTAATGTCAATACCTTTCCATAAATCCTAAATTCTATTCAGCAAAAATAAATGCTAGTCTAGTGTGAAAACAATTTTTTTTAATGCATGCAGGTGTCTAATTTTTACTGGTATTCTAAAAAGCGTTAGTACTGTGCCAAAATTGGAATGAGTATGCATTCCCATTAAAAGTTTTGATTAATTTAATAAGAAAGATTTCCTTAGTATAAAAAGATATGCTTAACACCTTTGCCCTCCTTCCTTTCTTTAGAGAATATCTTTTCTCATCGAAGGTCATTTTCTTCGGAAGGTACATGCGGTAGATGCAGAATCTTAAAATGTATTGTATAAAAATGTGAGGCTTCATCACCATCTGTTACAAGTTTACAACTTGTTCCAGGGATCTGGGGAAACATATATTGTGCAAAAGATAGAAAATTTATTTTCAGAATAAGGCTGGGTGAACCCATTGTCACTGTCATATACTTGAATCTCAGAACAAGAGAACCAGTGAAAAATAAAATGATATTTAGACCGCTAGCCACAAAGGAGAAGTCTATTTTAATTCCATCATTGTTACCTGATTTTGTAGTGAAAGTTGCAATAAAACTACCCTAGAGTTTCAAACTCTGTGAAATTCGTGCTGTAATTATATAGCGAAGAGAGCACTGGGATATTGTTATTCCCTGAGCGACTGGCAGGAAGTAAGAAAATAACAAAGTGGAGATTGTTCAGTAGGGGGAGATAGTAGCATTGGTTTTTTGGAGGAAGGCTAGAGACTGGATGAAAGAAAGAGACAAAGAAAGGGGATAAATGTGAGGAGGGACTATTAATAGAGGAGGAATTGTAAGGAGAAATTCAGAACATGAAAAGGAAAGAGAAAGATCAGATTATAAAAACGCCAAGGCATGCAGAACATGTCTAATTGACTGTCCTGTTGCGATCTCAGCACGGGTCCTCCGAAGGACGCACTAGATATTTCCTAGATATTTTGTGGTATTTGACCATTCTTCCAGGAGAAGTGAGGCCAAAGGTGCTCTGCGTTGCTGAACCACAGTAGCAAAACCCAAGATACCTAATTAGGTGTTTATTGTCTGAATGATTGCTGGAGAAATGTATACAGAAGACTATGAAAATATCACTGTTTGTTTCTTCAGAGGAGTCCATCCTTCAAATCGTAGCATTATTATTCTTGTGTTTCGTTCAAACTTGCTGTAACTTTGAGAAAGTCTATCACTTTTAGTTAGTCTAGTATGTAAATAAAAGCTAATCATACGGCATGAGATAAAACTTTCATTTTATCGCTGTATTTACGAGTTTATATTTGATATACAGTTTTTCTATTATCATTTTCTTGGATTAGGATCCTTGCATTTACTCACATTCTATTTACTCAAAGTGTTGTTTTTACTAAGTTCTGGCATAAACTATCTCAGGACAGCAGTAATTTATGTGAAGCTAAGTCCAATGTTTATGCAAGCTTCTGATGACATTTTATACTGGGGTTGGTATTAGGAAGCAGTATGTGGAGGTGCCAAGTCTCCCGGCATGGCTGAGACTCAACAGATCTGAAGCCCTCCTCTTAATGGCCAGATATGCCTCCAGCCAAGATACTCAACTGCAGAGTCATGGGAAATACTTATGTACCAATTATGGGAAAGGCACATTTAATGAAAACTGTATGTTTACTTTCATAGTCTTAGTAAGATGGCCTAAATACTCAGTACAGCTGGCATATTGGCTGTTGTAGAAAAGCTTTTTTTTCCTGAAGTTGCTTTTTTTCTGTGTAGAAAATATATCATCTACGTACTGTAACTGTACCAAAAATGTTACTTGCATGCTTCATTTAAGATAAAAGATTGTCAGGAAAAAAGGCATTAGGAGACTAGCCCTAAATGTTGCTTACATAACATTCATACTTCTGCATGGTTGTATTCTTATTTATCAGCTCACGGGCTTAATAATTATTTTATTGTACTATTTACTTATTGACTTTTCAGACAATAAACCACTATTTTTTAGATTTTTAAAACATTATCACTGTGCATAGAAAGAAAGTCTAGCAATGATCTGAATAAGCCATATTAATTAGCACATTTTCTTGTGTAGCTGAGGTTACACCCAATAGACAAACTCTAGTAATATTATCCCACCGATTAAAAATATAGAGGATGTCATTAACTGTTGGCAAGTTTTCCTGTTTAGTTGCACT